CCTAAACGGTCTCAGTGACAGGAAAGAGGGTAAGCCCCACCCCTTACAACAAACTGAGTCACACACCCCGGCATCCCAATGAAAAAGTTAACTGCGACAGGAACCTAGCAGCTCCATTTGGCTACGTATCACTTTAAAACCCACTTTCCTGAAGTGAGAACCATCCCTAAAGGAGAATTATACCTTAACATAAAGCTCCAATTTTAACCAAAATAAATCAATTTCAATGAAAACATCTGATAGTACTGCTATCTTGGAAAAACTATCCTTTCAATTAAAGGTGAAGCCGAGGCACTAAGTATTTTAACATTTCTAATTTTAAAGTTAAGATTACCATCTTAAAATTAAAATGTTAAAAAATTATAATGGTGCAACCACTGTGCCTCCATTTGCTTAAATTTTTGGCCATTTTTACACCCCTAAGGGACTCATTTATTTCATATTTACAGCTGATAGTCTATTGATTTCCTGATTTGAAAATTACCTCTGTAAATCATTAAATCAAAGTCTTTACTTTTAAATCAAAAACTGTTACTTTTTGATTTATCAAGTTACAATGCATTACACAGTCAAGCCCTTTCATTTATTAAAACCTGGAGTTATTTCTCAATCCTACTAAATCATGAAAAAACGATTAACTGTTCTAAAGTTGAGTAAAATTCATGTTGAGGGGCGGGGTGAGGGAATTTCTATTAAGTTGTTTCTTAAAAATTAAGAGGCATTCCTAATTAATTAGGGCATTGTGTTCAGCTTATAATGCTAAAATAAGTTAAATGAGAATATATTAGTGTTATTTTCCCAGTGTTTAGATTCAGCATTTCTGTCCTTTACCACAGAAACAAAATATGGTAACAATTATCAGGTAGTTCACATGACAATTCTTCAGATACATGTGATCATGAAACGCCTTCTTAATAAGGTGAAGTCCTCAACTGTCCTATCCAAAACTGCCCCCTCCTTCACGAGCATCAGTTAGACTTCGTCTAAACCAGTCACTCAGTTCAGGTTCTAGGTCACTCCTGAGCCTACCCAATGCGTCAAACCTTTCGTCTTTCTAAGCAGTGTTATCACTGGTCAGCCAATTATCATCAAGTTTGTTTTCCTAAGGTTAACTCAGGATTCAATTTCCTCTACTTGTGCTCAGCACACATTTTCAACGTTAATGTGCTCCCTGCAGGACCGTGATCTGCACGGCCTCCCCCTCCCACCAGGATCAACCACAGGTGGGGGTGCTAACGTCCTTCTATTAAGTTCAGTACCCACCCCTGAGGTCCACGCTTCACTGGTCTTAGCTTTGGTTGGGTGTGAAGTGAAACAAACTCTAAACAAATGATGGGAAAACGTAGTCTGAAAGGGGAAAAAAATGCCACAAATTAGGGACTCGACATGTTACAAACAAACGACATCCACTGCACTATAAAACATCAAAATTATTTCAGTGAACAAAAATTATCTGCCAAATTTAATAGGCACTGATACTTGAGCTCAGCTCCGCTTTCCAAGGTGTCCACAGAAGCGAGACTTCAGAATTTCTAATGCCGGTAGTGTGTTTTATCAAGGCTCCCCCCTTCCGTGGCTGCAAAACCAGAGCCACAAGTTAATTTCCAGGGCAGTGTTAACATCAACACCCCAACTTTAAAGTATTATCGGTAAAACTTATAAGCAGAAACAAAAATAAAACCAAAAGACAAGATTCTGCAGTCACAAGTGCTTTAATTGTTAAAACAAATCACTTACTTGAAAATAAACAAGTGGCACCATTCTGCTCTAAAGCCGATACAGGTGAACGGAATCAGGAGGGTCGGTGTCACAGCGGGCACCAGGCCGCACACCCCCGGCCGCGCGCTGATCGCTGAGCTTACTATCTGCGAAGTCACAGTCAGGACACCACTCTCCGAAGTGACATCCATCTGTCACACTCTGACTTTAAAAGGTTAAACAGCCCGAACAGTTTAAAGAACTTTATTTTCAAAAATCAACATTACAGAGCATAATTGCTACATTTAAATTTCTTAACAGTCCAAGTTTCCACAAAACCGTAGCCCAAATCCAGCGACTCCTCGACCTCCTCGAACTGTCACCACTGCGCCCTGTTTCAGGCCGCACCTGAAAACCAAGGTGCGCGGCTCACGAGAGTCGGGGGGCTCCGTCACCCGGCGTCCGACCCGACCTCCGCGTCAGGCGCGGCCACGGCGGCGGCGAAGCGCCGGCGCGCGGTCAACACTGAACCCCCCACAATTCAGTAAGGCGGTGAGACTTCTGCGGAGGCGGTCACTTCACCGAGCTCGGGGATGCAGGAGCGAGAGCCCTCCTTCTGAACGTACACCTGTAACATCTACTCAAACTGGGTCTCTCGTCCCCTAGGTTGAGAAACCAGCGATCAGGCCACACAGGTTTTACGGGGGGCGGGGGGGACTGCAATTAAGAAAGTTACAGGCTTCAGAAGAGCCACGTGCGCCCCCCAAACCTGCAGCGTCTCCTCAAGGACCAAAGAAACAGT